AAAGTCCGTAAGGCCGCGCGCCTTGCCTCATGGATTCCGGGATTCCTTCGGGGGTCGTTCTACGAGGTTGAAGCTATTCTTCGAAGGAGACGGCAGCAGTTTATGGGGGCCTCGGCGGAAGAGCATGTCCCTAACGCTCTTCAACTACTACTACTACTACTACTACTACTACTACTACTGCTACTACTACTACTACTACTACTACAACTGCTGTTACTGCTACTGCTACTGCTACTGCTAGCGGGAGCAGAAGGGGCCGGAGCAACGGCAGACCAGGGGACCAGAGAGGACCACTAAAGGAAGAAAGGACAAGAGTAACAATCCTCCCGTCAAAACGACCCATGGCGGCCCACTTCCCAACAAATTCCTATCGCCCTGGTATCGTGAAAAGGGTGGCTTAGGTTCGAGCAGGTAGGCCGCACTTGCGAAAGATGTCAGCTGCGCAATCGGAGAATTCCAGCCTTCGGCTGCAACATGGCAGGTGCCGGATATCCCGGATGTTCACTCGCTGCCTCTGGTTTTCCTCGGGCTTCACCCGCCAGTTCCAGAGCCGTCCCCTGGAGCCCTCTGCCGTGAGCACCTTGTGGACTCCTGGGACGAAGCGGATAAGCCAAGAAAGCTTCCGAAAGCTCTAAGGACACTAAAGACGGTCCTGGGACTGCTTCTTGGAAGCACCTCAGACATGCTGACAAGCTTCTGCATCGTACACAAATGCAGCTGGAAGCTAAACAGAGGGCTCGGGTCTGAGCCTCGGTGATGGAGGCATGTTGGGCTCGAACGGGCCCGGCAGGAGAGGGAAAGGGAAGAACTCCTGTGCTCAGACCGTAATGCAAGACGCAGGCATCCCTTCATGACAGCTGCTTTGCATAGGGAATCCCACCAGAGATGCTGAAGCAGGGTGTCCTTCAACGGCGGCCGTGACCCGCCGAGGTCTTCCTCGATCTGCCTGCGACTTGGGGACTTAGGAATGTTTGCGAATCCTACAAACGATAACTGATCTCCACACGACCAAAACTTCGTGTTGTTTTGGCCGAGGGTTTGGGCCCCAGGCCTCTCTGCCATATCCTTCGTGATGTCCTCTGGCCTGCAGAACGAGTGTATACGAGTATAGTGGCCTTGCCCGGATAGCCTCACAAGTCCTCTGGCCTGCAAACGAAGACCAATTTTTGTCGCTGGCGCTCGGTGAGCACCTGTGGACCAAGCCAAATGAGAAAGGACGGGGCCGAAGGCGCTAAGCTTTGAAGGATTAGAAGCGGCTTAGCCTTCTTCGCAAGCGGGACCAAGGTTCCCAAAATCCGAGGCCTGCGGCAAAAGCGAGCCCGTGGCACTCCGAGGAGCTCTCAAACTCTCACTGAGCACGGCACATGTTGCAGATGTAGAACCGGAAAATGCGACCTGGCACACGAACTGTTGGCCGCGGGGCTTCACGAGAAAAAACGGCGGGCACACCGACATAGTACATTCCCATGCTCCTGGCATCTGCAGCCACATCCAGCACTGCTTTCAGCTCTGTCGCTGAAACAGGTCCACCAGGCCTATGGACTTCTCGAAGCACTCCAATAGGAATCTGGGAGAGGGACAAGTCCTGGCATCAGCCGGGAATGGCGGTAGGAGGCAGAAAATTGCAAGCGCAGAGCATCCTCGCTTACAACTGCCAAGCACTTCCACTCCATGTCAGCCTACTGCCAAGACTCTGCTGACTTTGGGCTCTCCTTCAGATCTATGACCACGTTTAGGCTCTCGATCTTCCCCGGGACCTCGTCTATCTTTCTCATCGAAGAACTAGACGACAGGTTTCGGCAAGAGAAACCCAAGGTCATGGCTGCCATATACCGAAGGAAATACCTGACACACAGCCGGCAGCACGGAGGACACACAAGTGCCGGACAGGCCAAGATCCCAACTCCATGCAAAAGACCAGGACCTCAGGGGAGCAGTGACACAGCTTTCGCAGACACAAGAGACTAGACACGATGCCGAGGACAAGGCTCTAATGACTTGATCGTAGCGCCTCTCTCTATGCCTGAGTCTTCAAAGTTGTACAGGTAGACGGGGTAGTGCACTGCACTTCAAGGCTCCCACCACGCAGCTGGTATGCGCGCGGCTCGAAAAACGAGCACTGGACGAAGGGCCTCAGCAAGTCAGCATGCACGGGGGAACGGCAGAGCTTCCACTGTCAGTCCTTGTCTCGGCCGGTGAAGTACGCCAGACCCAGCTTCAGGTCCTGGGACCCAAAATGGCAGCCTCAACCTCGAGACTCCAGAGGACCTCCCGGATGGACTGCTGTCCTCTGCCATGTCCGCATCAGAGAGCGGCCTTAGAAGCCGAGATCTGTGGCCCCCTTTCACGAGAGAAGTCCGCGGAAACTGAGATCTGAAGCCGAGTGAAGAAGGAGCTGCGCCACTCTGTGGTGGCCTTCCGGGTCAAATCTTCCAGAGCTCGGAATGTGGGAAAATTATGGAAAATGTGTGGGGCTTCCCTTGCCTCCATCATCTTCAGCGCCTTCTTGGGGTCTCCGTGAGAATGGCCTCTACGGAAGCTTTCGATTGCACGCCGACGAAACCGGAATTGGAGAAGTAGCTTGCACGATATTGGGGCACTGGCCAAGATACCGCGTAGCGGAGGCCTGAACAGGACAAAACGGAACCGCCACGTAGCACGGTTGCGAAACATGCAAGTACGATAATGGTCTCTGATGTCTGCAGATACACAGCCAGGGTCACAATATGCGTCTTTTCTCCCACTAAGCTCCCAACAGATATGGAAACAGGGAGTGCCACACGATGCGCCCGTGCCTCTTCCTGGCAAAGACCGCACCACTTCGTGCATTCGACGCAGTGGCAGTGGAATGATGTGGAATGCAAAGTTCGTCATGACAGAGCCAAGGATGTGCAAGACTGAGCACCGTATCCGCAAAACAAGACCGTCGCCATTGGCTAATGCCCAAGTCAGACTTGATTGCTTGGACCCGACACTCGAACTCCCTGCCTGTAGAAGACGCAGCGCCTCTCAAGAAGCTGAGTAAGACTAAGAGTTTTAGCAGTCGGCTGCATCTTCCGCGAAGATCTGCCTCCAACTCGTCATGATTCAACTCAATGTTGCAGTGCAGCTTCCTGCACATGACACATTGCTGATTGAAGTTGCCCTTGCAGCATCCATTCCACACACAGGAGCTGGTAGTTCTAGAAATGTGCGAACCAAACTGTCGAAAAGACACTTGAGACAGGCTTGCGCACTTCGGGGTTGCCTCTCGCAGTCGCCATTTGCAAATCGTGCGAACACGGCTTGATCGTCAGGCTGAAAGGAAAGCACCTCCTGCCGTGCAGTGGTGCTCAATCCAAGCCATGTCAGCACCTTCTGCCGCTGCCTGTGGTAACGAGAAAGCTGCCACGTTGTGCTCCTGACAAAGCGTTGATCGCGAGCGGGGACTGTACCACCTTCCTGACGTTGATCATTTTTCCGCCTCTATCTCGATCGAGCTGTTTTCAGGAAGAACGCGGAATCCATTCCTCACTATCAGAAAGTGCGCACAACTAACCAGACCATCTTGGCCGGACTTCGCTGACGTATGATATGTCCTAATCATATCTCCCAGGCTCCGTTTAACAGCGTTAGCAAACACGACCACAACAAAGAGTGGTAGTCATGTCGCCGGAAACATCACCTGCACTTTCGCCCCACCAAGTGCCCGGCGCAACCGCAGCCGGGTCGGCTAAGAGGTCATCGCGTGGTACCTACCAAGTTGTGAAGGTGCTTCAAGCTCTGACTCTGGAGCCCTTGGGCCCCAGGGACGAACATTCCTAGGCAGCTCTTGAGCTCTTCCGCAGCGCAGCGAGCTGCTGCTTTGCTGCTTGATTAACAATCACGGACGCAGCACAGCCTGCGCTCGGCTGTGGCTTGAGGTGGTCGATGGCCTTGTGTGATGTCGCAAAGACTTCCGTCCAAGAGTCACTCCCGGCGCGGGAAGCAGGGAGACTATGACTATGCCTGTTGAAGTGGCCCTGTTTCACAGGTTTGTCACTGCCGGAGGTGCAATAGCTATGAATGGATGGGGCCTTACTAAACCCAACGTCGGACACAAGGCAAAGGTTCGGGCGAAGCTTGGGTAAACCAGCGACTCTGTAACTCCTATCTTGGTCTTGGGCTGCCAGGCATCTCCCAACACTACACATAGCTCGCTTTGATCTCAATCGCTTCAGGTCTGGACAACGGAGGAGTGGGGGTTCAAGGCAGTTCGTGGGCTGACATTGAGATATCTGGGCAGCTAGGATCGCTGTGAATACTCATTTCTCCAAGCCACCACGGGGGGAAATGGCGCATTGCTGCTGCAACAGCCATGTCGGATTGTTCACGCAATATCTGCTTAGCTAACATGGCAGCCTCGTTGAAGTAGTTTAAACTGAGCTGTCTCGCTCACTGCTCGTTGGTTCAGAAATGGCAGCTGCCTGTCTTGACTTGGTACAGGCCCCGAACTGTTGCACTCTGCTTTTGCTTGGTGGGCCAGCTACTTGCTGCTTGAGCCTGCGGATCATGGCCGCCACCAGCGTTCGCAGCACATTTCGTGTCGCACTACCTCAAGCCTGATGTGTACTACGCTTTGCGCCTGCAGCATTAAACTCTGATTCAGGGTCGGTCATAGCTCCTCGTCCACCACAGCAGGCATCGTGTTGACTGGTGCCTGGGGCATTGACTCTTGCGACTGTGTGGTGAGTCAAGTGCCGAGTTGATACTGCCACGGACAGCAACCGCGTCGCTTGTGAATCCGGTTCGTGGCTGGCTTCCAGTTTCCGTGAGTCTGCTTCGCGGCACCTCTGGCACCGACGACCGTGACCGGCGCTGTTCGGCAACATACCTCACAGCTGTAACCCTTCTGCTGATCGTGCACGTCGCTGAGCTGCACATGCGTCCGAGATGGGGACAACGGCCCACTTGCAGGCCTGAATGCATGCTGAAATGCTCGGCAGATCTCTTACTTAAAGGCTTTGAAGGAGCAAACAACTCAAGCATGTTGCTGAAAGATGCCTGGCCAGCGGTCGCATTGTGGCCGCCATGGCTGCAGCCATGCTTACAGCACCGACTGAACCTTGTAAAAAGTGGGTTCCATCGTGCTTTGCGAGCTGTTTCAGTCTCGAAGATCGGAGTGCGTCCACCAGTTGCTTGTAGCAAGATGTGGGCTTCAAAAAGAAGATGCCGTGAAGCATGACTACTCCTGCAAGGTCCACATTTCATCCCTCAGATAGCAGCAGCTGCCGGTTGACGAATTGAGAGTGTCGAAGAGAAGCCGCGCCCGCACCTAGTCCAGTCACCGAACGCGCAGTTTACACTAGACCGCAGGCATCGAGCAACATCAAGCCTTCTCCCTGCTATCGCAGAAAGAGACGAAAGCTATTCAGCTCTCGATCGATATATATATATATATACGCACATAGTCATATGTACATAGCAATTGCATGACCTCACCTAGCAATACCTAGCATGTAATCCAGCAGCCGGTCACTGCACTCTCCCTCATGATCCTGATGGACTGGTACAGTACTGTATGCTTCGGACTTTTTTGGGGGATCGAAATAAAATTCCTACATCCCCAGATAAGCCTTCCCAGCCGCGCACACACAGCCAGACCAACACTGCAACCCATTCTTTTGGCACCACTTATCTTCGTGTTTGCTTCGTTGCCGGCATGCTTGCATTCAGGAAATTGAAGCGTGCTAGCCCGCATCCAGGCCAACCACACTCGGGTGAATGTAGTTCGACTCTGGGCTTGTGTGTAAGTAGAGTAGTAGTAGTAGTAGTAGTAGTAGTAGCAGTAGTAGTAGTAGTAGTAGTAGGAGTAGCAGCAGCAGCAGCAGCAGCAGCAGCAGCAGCAGCACCAGTAGTAGCACCAGCAGCAGCAGCAGCAGCAGCAGCAGAAGCAACAGCAGCAGCAGCAGCAGTAATCGTCGTCATCGTCGTCGTGGTAGTGGTAG